GGCAGCGCCGGCGGCGCTGCCGCCGCCGCCGCGCTGTCCGGGGAAACCTCCCTGGACCTCCCGGCGCCATCGGCGGCATTTATGGCGTCCAAGACCGCCGCCGCCGCCGCCGCCGCTGCCGACGGCGGCGGTGACGCCAGCGGCGGCGGTCGCTTCCTCTGCGTCCTGACGGGGGAGATGTACCCGGCGGCCACGGAACGGTACGACGTGACGTACAAGCAGTTGCTGCAGCACTGGTTTAGCCTGGCTTCTCAACTGCCTAATGAAGGCGACAGGCTGCGGGCGATGGACACCATCCCCTTGGCCATCCGCCGCGCCAACCCCTCCCTCACCCGGGAGTGGTACCTGAGGGTGCGCTCTCAACCCACGTTTCTGTACCGCACCGCGCCGGTCTGTGTGGAGGCGGCGGCGCAAATAACCGGCATGGCGCTGGAGGATCTGCAGCGTGCGTTGCAGCCGACGCCGTCGGGCATGATGGGCGTGATGGCGGCAGCGGCGGCGGCAGTCGGCGGCTCTGGGGCAACGGGCGGAACGGCTTGGCCACCGGCAGGGAGCCCCGGCGCGGCCGCCGCCGCCGGAGGTGGCGGCGGCGGCGGCGGCGGTGGTGGCATCAGCAACTCCGGTATGGGGATTCTGGCGGGCTGGGCCGCCGCTGGCGCGGCCGTGCAGACCCATGGGTCACCTCCCGTCACAGCGCGCGGACCAGTGGCGGAGGGACTTAGCCGTCAGGCCACCGCCAACACGTCCTTGCGCGTGCAGCTGGCGGCGTCGGGGTCTGTACGGCGGCCTTCCACGGCGCTACCGCCAGCGGGGCCGAGTAGCCATTCCCTGCTACAGCAGCCCCAGACGACTCCTTTCCGGTCGGGCTCGCGGCAGCAGCTGCCGTCGGCGGCGCATCAGCACTCACCGAATTCACAGCCTGGCGCAGGGCCATCCCGGAGGTTCATGCCAAGATCAAAGTCAGCCTCGCCCAGCGTAGCCTCATCACGGCTGTCGGCAGTGGCCCACAACAATGGCGGCGGTGGCGGCGGCGGTGGCGGTGGCGGTCTTCCAAGCATGTTGGTTCCACGGGCTGAGAATGAGAAGAGTGCAGGCAGTGGCTTGGGACGGGTGCCCTCCTTTCTCCAAGTATACGGCCCCACGCCGGAGCAGGCGGCGGAGGCGGCGGCGATCGCGGCTGCGTTGCCGTACGAGGTGCTGGACGAGGCGCGACAGCTGGCGGGTGCGGAGGATGCGGCGGCGGCGGCGGCGGCGGAGACGGAGGGGGTTGAGACGGAGGGGGAGGAAGCGACCTCACCCCGTGGCGGCCACCGCCGCCTCCAGGGCGACGCGGCGGCGGACGCAGACGGCGGCGGCGGTGGCGGAGGCTGTGACCTCAGTGACGGCTCCGCCACGGCCGCCGACGGCTCCCGGACGACTTCCCAGGGTGACGCTGCCGGCTGCACGTTGGCCGCGCCAGCTGGCTCGCCCAACGAACCTCGAAACGCCGTAAACGCCACCACCGCCGCCGCCACCACCAGCGGAGGCGGCAGCCGCGCCGCCGCCGCTGGCCTAGGAGGTAGCCCGGGGCTGGGCTACGCCACCGCCGCTGTGACAGCTGCAAATGGTGGTGGCGGCGGCAGCGGTTACAGCCCCCCTCGGCCCGGCCGTTTGCCCGGACGTATGTCCGCTAGTTCTGAGATCACGGAGATGGGCTCCATCGCCTCCTTCTCCGACCCATCTTCCCCTAGTGTCAACCACGCGAGTTATAACCACTTGCACGGCCACGGGCATGGGCACGCGTACTCGCACACGTACTTGCACCCGCCGCCGCCGCTCGCCAGTAGCGGTGGCGGCGGCGGCGGCGGCGGCGGCAGCGCCGCCGCCGTCGGGTCTCCAGGCTCCATTGGAGCGTCGCGGATGTCGCCGCCTCGTAGCGCCGGAGCGCCGACACTGCATACAATCCACGAGGAGGGCGCCGCCGCCGTACTGCCACCGCCGCCGTCGGCTTCCTCCCGACGCTCCGGATCTCCGCTTGTGGGCGGTACGGAATTGCTCTTCCCGCCGCCGTCGCGCGGCGGCTCTGGCTCGCATTCCGTACCTCGCATGCGACCACCCGCTAGGCCCGGCATGGATCGCCAACTTGCCGCCGGCAGCAGCGGCGGCGCCGGTCGGCGGCATCCCGGTCCACCGCCGACGTACGGCCATAGCGGCGGCGGAGCCGCCGCCACTGCCGGCGGCGGCCTGCAGCGCGGCAACAGCTTGAGTGAAAGCGGCGACCTGCCGGTGCTACCGGGGACTGCGGCGGCGGCAGCCGCCGCCGCCAGCTTGAACAGTACGATGGCTTCATCCATCGGCAGTCTTAGCCGTCGCAGTACGAGCAACCAGGCCGTACTGTCGACGGAAGATATACGGACGCTGCGGGAGTTGAGCGAGGCTTACACCGCCGCGGAACGCCTCACTCAGCAGCTGCTTGCGCAGGCGCACGAGATCCTGTCCGAAGACGGCGGCAGTCGACCAGGCAGCACCGGCACCAGCCCCATGCACGGTGCCCGTCAGGGCCGTACGGCACCGAGCCCCCGCGCGCTGACGCCCACTAGCCGCCCCGGCACCGGGAACAGCGGCTTCTCCGGCACCCGGCAGCCTAGCGTCAGCTCAACAGGAACCGGTACTGGTACTGGCGGCGGCGGCGGCGGCAGCCGACTGATGCGGCTTAGCAGCGGGTCTGGGCGGCCGGGCACGACAGGCACACAGCGTCCCAGTAGCTCCTCCCTGCCGACGGCGCAGCCACCGCCAGCGTCAGCAACAGGACCGACGACGGCGGGAGTAGAGCCGTACGTCAACCGGACAGGTAGCGGACGTAGCGTGGGCAGCGGCAGTGGCGGCGCCGGCGACGCTGCCACACCGCCAGCTACAGCACTGGCGGCCGCTTCACTGGTTTCGGCGCCGGGTCAGGCCATATCGCCGGGGGCGGATCTCATCATGGGGCTCGGCAGGAGCTCTCCGGGCACGGGTGATGGCGGCGACGGTGGTGTCGTGGCGGCGGCGGCGGCGGCGGCGGCACGTCACTCACCAGGCGATCTGGATCTGTTCACCTCCGCTGAGGCGGATCTGTTGGCGGAAGCTCTCCAGGAGTAATTGTGCTGACGTTCGTGTCTTGTATGTATGTACGTACGTATAATCGAAACAGGGGGGTATATCTTCGCCCGTGGCAGCTACCCTGCGAAATCCTGCCTTTCCCGGTATTTCGGGGCACCATCATCCAGTCACCCTAGTCAACTTCTCAGTGGATCGCTCAGGTTCCGCACCCACCACCAGCATCCAACGAAATCTGCCGGGTCGACAGCGGCCCAACTCCATTCCTGGTCGGCTCGCAGGTTAAAACAGGTCGCGCGTTACCAGCAGTGCCTAACCTATATATGTACGTATGTATGTATGTCTTGGGTGTATGTATGTCTGGTACGGCGTTCGTGCACTATACTTTGTAGCCCCTACGATTGAGTGCAGCAGTGGAAGTTGTTAACACACACCTCTCCCCCCACAACACAACACTCCTCTCGGCAGTGGCACGAGCCTGAGTCATATACTGAGAACTAACACCAAGGCGTATGGGACAAACGGAGCCTGTGTGTGTGTGTGCGTGTATGTGTACCACCTTTAGCCGCCTCCATCCCTTTCCACCCGTTTCCCCCCCTCCCCCCCGACCCCAAGGGGCTCATCCTCCCATGCAGCTCCACACACACACACGACTTAACGTGGCAACAGGCGACTGAAATACAATCTATCACTAACGATGACACATACACACTGTGGGGGGGAGGAGGGAGGGAGGGAAGGGGAGGGAAAGAAGACTTCGGAGCCTGCCGGCATGAAAGCTCTATTATTGCGGTGATGCTGTTGTTGGTGGTGGTGGTAATGGTGGCGCTTGAATCTGGGCTGGCGCCTGTCGCATGTAGTAGCTCATTCCTTGTGCGTTGGTATGGGGAGCGATTCATATCGACAGCTTTTAGCGGAGGGGGACGGGGGCGTTGAAGGAATTGGGGAGGAAAGCGCAGGATGATGATGATGATGATGATGATGATGGTGATGATCATAACCGGTCGTAATTGGAGAATGATGAGGTGGATGATGGTCAGCGGCAGGCAACCACGGTGCACCGTGAAGACGAATGGACGGTGAAGGATATGGGCACTACCGCGATAGAACGCTGTTCGGTAATACTACTTTACATTCGGGGTAATTATCCTGGTACCTGGAGTACCCTAAAGTTTGTAAGGATGTATAATTTCGCCAAAGAGCGGACAAAGTCGCCCGGTGCGGCCCTCCACCACAATAATGCTGCCTCTGGCTTCAGTGCGCAAGGGCCGCGCCCCGTTTCATGCTGTTGTGGTGTCGTAGAAATTAAAAAAGGAGCCAGACCAGGGTGCTGTCTTTATTCTAAGGGCTACCGGAGAAAGGGGCCGCCCGTCGGGAGAATGTCATGCTTGGGAGTGTCATGCGATGGAAAGGACGCTCAGTATTTCTGGTGCTGCACGTAGAGTGTAATGAATGTTTGCATGCTTCATGAGCTTGTACGTCCAAACAAACCCAAGAGGCTCATAAACGCGCAGGGTGTTAAGCAGACGTCCGTGGCTGGGAGAAGCCGCACAACGCGGCACAGATGCGCGCCCTGATTCTCTGACATCCCCAATCCACGCAATAATTGCAGGCACCCGATTTGTCGGCGTGGCATAGGTAGCGTAGGGATGTGAAATGTTGCGCGAGGTTTGCGCAATGTGCATGCTAGGCCTGCTATGCACGTGGACTGTGGAGATGGCGACGATTACATGGATCACTATGATAATATTTTCGCAATAAGTTCTTACATACTTTGTGATGGGGCGATCCTCGTCCTTTAAGTATGGGGTACATATTTGAATTGGTCAACCGAATTTGGTATGCAGCAGCTAACATCACTGGCGGGAAAGGTCAATGGCGTACTCAAACAACCGCACAGGCCGAATTAGAGCTTCTGTGATAAGGACGTCTAATCAAAACCGCTTTATTTCTCATCTCATGGTACGGCAGTTGATTACTAGTCATGTCCAGATTTACAAACATGGGACAAGACTGCATAATGCTAAATAATATTAGGTGACAAATTATACGTGTTAGGCTGTGATTGTTCTCCGCGTGCGAATTTACAATCACTGGGGGAACTCTGCAGCCCGCGTTCTCGCGCGGCGAGAGCGACAAACGCCACTGGTACAGTCAGGTCGCTCTCGCCTCGCACAGTGCTGAGGAGCTGTTGTAACTTGTAGCTGACGACTTTGGCGGCGTAGAAATGGCGGACACAGCTTCAGCTGAAGTTACAATTTTTGGCACCCTTCAGAAGTGGGGTGGCAGTATGATGACATTCGCACAACAATCTTTCAACAGGTATGTGAGCGAAACCCGCTGACGCAATGATATAGTCGTTGAAGGCCCGCGCCCCCTATAAACGCGCATCGCTGCGCCTGCTTGCAGCCTCATGGGATGGGAGGACCTAGAAGTGGTTGACCCGGAGGCAGAGAAGGCAAAAAAGGGCGAAGAGACGGAGGCGAACGGCTTGCTCGAGCAGGTGTGGCGGCCAAGCGCAGCGTAGATGTTTTCATTCAGTGCTTTTGTCAGAGTATGAAACCTCTTTTCCTGAGCTTCAAATTTTGCTTACGAAGCGTGTCGATTAATACTGCAAATTCGTATGCACTGATGGCCTAAACCAGGCCAAGGGGCCCTTCGCCAGGCGTGTAAATAAAATTGTTCCGAAAATCTAGCGGCATTTTATGAAAAAAACTTTGAAGTAAGGATTGGTTGCTAAGGACAAGCATGGCTAATCGCAATCCAAAGCAGCCTCCGTCCGTACTGTTGGCGAAGAATCCTACCTCCCCACCACCACAACAGCCACTGCTGCATCCGTGGCGCCTAAACACCAAACCAGCCCTGGCTCTTCACCCTCTTTTCCCGCAAACTATCCAACCTCCATAACACCCCTTCTGCCGTCACGCCATCTTCCAGTTGTGGCCTTGAGGATTGCGTTCTCCCTTATGCCCACGTTCTCCCTGATCCCCATCTTCGACTTTCACAAAACTACCAATAAAACCACCGCTACAACTACCGCTATCGCCTTAATGGCCGTAATGACTACAATGACCGTAATTACGGCAACCGCAGGAGCGAAAGCAGGCGTGGGGAACCCGCCAGTTCCAACAGTACATAGGCGCAGACGTGACGAGTCTCCTCAGCGTCCCGGTGTGGATTATGGAGCCCTTCACAATCCTACAAAAGGCCGCGGAGATCATGGAGTATACCGACCTACTGGACAATGCGGACACAACCGCTGACGAGTTTGACCGGTGAGTTTGACACCGCAACTCGACCGGTCATGTAAATGTCACAGGGGGGAATGAATGTGGTCACTATAGCGACAGCAGCAGGTCGTCGTGATGATGTTGCCATGACAGACAGGAATGAAATACGAAATACTGGAGTCTTTCACGGCGCGGCGCTCGAGTCCAGTTTTTGGTTTTGTAAGAAGCCTGTCTGTGTGTGTCTCTGTGTGTGTGTGTGTGTTTTGGGGGGTTGCGCAGGTGGGGTATTGCCGCCCCGGGGAAGCTGCCCTAGCCTTAGTAAGACCGAATGGCCAACGCCCAAAGCATTGGGGATTTCCCGCTCGTATGGCTTCTTGGCTGCAGTGGAGGATGTTGGATCTTTTTCATGTGGCTGATGTGTGTGTGTGTGATGATGGTATTCCCCAACCTGATAGTGGGGCGATCACCCCTGTGGGAGCTCCCCTCCTACTCGGAGGCTGGTGTGGGGTGGGGTGGAGTGGAGGAAGTGCTGCTGAACGCGTTTCCCCCTTCTAAAAGCAGTGGGGAGTGGGTTTCATGCGGCTGTCCCGGACGATCTGCTGGGCCGTTGGGTATTGGTATGCGTGTGAGCAACCTTTACGGTTGGTCTCCTCCTCACCCTCACCCCCTCATCCTCACCCTCGCCCTCACTCAAATCCCATGTCTATCTCTCTTCCCCTCGCCTTCACCCGCATCCCATGCCTCTCTCCCCCTCACCATCATCCTGGTCATCAGGTTCGCCTGGGTGGCCGCCTACTGCGTGTCCCCCTTTGGAGCGGCGGAGAGGGCCTGGAAGCCCTTCAACCCCATCTTGGGGGAGACGTTCGAGCTGGCGGTGGGCGACAACGTTCGCTACCTCGCTGAGCAAGTCTCACACCACCCGCCCATCTGCGCCGCACACGCTGAGAACGGACACTTCCGGTACGACCTGGTTTCGGCGCCCACGACACGCTTCCTGGGCAACAGCCTGGAGGTTTACCCGTACGGTGAGTGAGACGGCGATTATTATTAATAATATTAATATTATTAATATTCTGTTTGGAACGGTGCGTGGTCGTGTTTTAGAACTAAAAGGGTGATGAAAGTATTGGTGGGGATGATGGAAAGTGATGGGGAGGGTTGGGTGATGGGGCCGATGGGTTGTACGGAAAGGTGTAATGAACGTATGGGGTTTATAGAGTTACATATTAGAAGCCCTTCTGAGGTGGTGTAGGAGGGTATTTAAGGTCGAGCAAATGTGGGGCTTAGGACAAGATTGCTAAGTTGCCTGTTCTACGTGATTTCCCACACAAGCGCATTCGCACACCTCCCACACCACACCTCCCAGCCCCCTCTCTAACCCCCTCCCTCCCGGGGGGTGATTGTTGGTCTCGCGGCCTTCATCCTCTTCTTGGCCTTCTGTCCGGCCCGCTACTGCTGCTCTTGTTGTTGCTGCTACTGCCGCTGCTGCTCTTCCTCCCTGTGTTGTTCTTATTGACGGAACCCTAAAACCGTAAAAGGAGTCAAAAACCCCCAACCCCGACTTGAATTTGATCTTTCCCCCTCTCGCGCTTCAGGACGCACTCGCATCTCGCTGGTTCGCAGCGGGGAGGTCTTCACGCTGGTTCCCCCTAACGCCATGGTCCACAACATCGTGATTGGTCGTACTTGGGTGGACGCGTACGGCCCAATGACCATCAACTGCATCACCACGGGGGCAAAGTGCCGACTCAACTTCAAGCCCTGCGGCTGGTTTGGATACGGTCGCTACCAGTTCGAGGGCTTCGTGTACGATAAGGGTGAGCAGGGACTGTGCAGGGTATGATAAAATGTGAGGTCAGGCTCTTAGATTTTCTCTCCATGGTCATGGGCGTGAAGGGCTCTCGTTCTAGTGGTTTAAACTAGTCCAAGAAGGGGGGTTACGTCCACAACGTGTGAGGGGGTTTGGAGCCGGTGATGAAGCGAAAGGGGGAAAGTGGGCCAGGTTGCAGACAGACTGGAGGGAAGAGGGGAAATGGCAATCCTTGGGTTTCTTGCCGTACATTCGTACGCAATCGCCGATGCACGGCTTAAAGGGCACGGCATATGGATTGGTGATGCGGTCCGAGGGAGGTTATGCGGCCGGGGCCGGGGTTATCACCCGTTCATAATGCTATGGGGTACTGGGTGTTCCTCTTCCGCCATAGAGTGCTGTAGAGTATGCAGTGCTGTATTTTTGCCCAGCTTGGCTCTCTACTACAGAGCTCTTGTCTTATGATGCTGACAACACCACTGCCGCCATCACCATCATCATCACCATCACCACCCGACAGAGGGTAACAAGCGAGTGATGCTGACCGGAAAGTGGAACCAATACGTTGACGCGGTGCGCTGCGACTTCAGCGATGCCCCACTCCCCGGGGCGGAAGTTCGGCGGCTCTGGACGTGCACCCCCAAGCCCGTCAGCGACTACTACTCCTTCACGCACTTTGCACACAAGCTCAACAGCAGCGAGGGCATCCGGACACCCCTGCCCAGCGACAGCAGGTTGGTAGTGGGCGCTCTTACTTACCACCTGGTCTGGATGGGGTTTGTCGGGTGGGTGGGAGGTGGGAGGTTTAAGGAGGGGGATTTTAGGGATTTGGTGGGGGAATGAAAACATGAGATGGGTTGTAGGTGGGCGGTGTGGGTGCTGGTGCAATGGTGGAGCGGGTGAGGGTGGGAGGTGGAGACAGGGTGCGGGGCGGGACACAGAGGGTGGGTGATTGATAAAAAGTCGTTGTGGCTTGTTTGGTGTTTCTTGGTTTATGGCTGTGGCTGACTGGATGGATGTGTGGATGGATGGATGGATGTGTGGTCTTTCCTTGGTGGCCTTTCCTCGGTGAGCTCCTTTCCTTTCCTTTCCCGGTACACGGAGAGGGGAAATACGCGGGGGGTTGGGAAACCTGAGCCCCGTCACAGTCGCTCATCTCATGCGCCCGTGTAATAACTTGCTGTTTTTGAAATCCTGCTGGTTTCTTTTTACGTGTTGTCGGTTTTCTCTTTCCCTCCCAACCCTGGTCAGTTCTGTAGCTTCTTGTACACCTGGTCAGTTCTGCTGCTTGTACGCTCTTTCCCCTTGGCAGCAGCTTCATTCGTTCATGGTTCGTCTTTCCCTCCCTCTCCCAACCCCCGAGAGCGACTGTCCTTGTACCCGCGATGACCGCAGGCGCCGTCCCGACCGCTCCAAGCTGGCAGCAGGTGAGATGGGCTCTGCGGGCAGTGAGAAGGTGCGGCTGGAGGAGATGCAGCGGGCCGAGCGGCGAGAGCGGGAGAAGCGGTCGGACAGCTGGGCACCGCGGTGGTTCCGCCGGGTCGAGCAGCCGGAGCTGTATGAGGGTGAGTGAGTGCCGGGCGGTGAAGCCGTTTCAACCTGGGCCCATGTAACCCCCAGCGGAGTCGGTTTCCCGATTGAACAGATTGAGCAGGTTGAGGTTGGCGGGTGTGAGGAGGAGAGGGCTCGCCGGCTTCTGCCATCTCATCATGCAGACCCATCCCCGTGATCTCTGCTTCCCCTGCGGATATTCCAAATAGAGGAGAGGGACGGATCGGGAGAGGGAGAGGAGGGAAAGAAAGTCAGAGGGTAGAATTGAGCTTCTGTTGTGTGTAGAAGTGGCGAATCTGCTTATGGCGATTTATGTAGGAGTCCCTGTCTCTGGTCTAATCCCAGATCTGTTTCCTGGCGAAAGATGGCTTTCGTTTTCTCGTACGATCGAAAACCCTTTTGTTCTCGCTGCTACTGATTTCGTAATCTGTTATGTCGCTTGGATTGTTTTGATTTTTTTTGTGTGGGGTTGCAGGCGAGCTGGAGCTTTCCAAGGTGCCGTTTTGGGAGTTCACAGGCGACTACCTGAAGCTGCCGGAGGCGGAGCCGGGCGTGGCGTCAAACATCAACGGGAAGGGCTTCTGCCCCTGGCAGTACCCCGACATGCACGAGCGCCTGTGAGAATTGCGACCAGAAGCCGCCTTTTTTAGGCCTAAATGTGCAGGAAGCAGCAGCAGAGAAGGAGCAGCAGTTTCTGCTCGTTTCTGTAGTAGTAGTTGTTGTTGTCATTTTGTATTAACTTGTATTAATACTTCAGCGGAGACGGCGTTGGTCTGCATGGCGGCTGTGGGTGGGTATGGTGGCCCTGATTTTGTATTTGTAATCTTTTAATATTCCAAGATATCGCGGAGGACACCTTGCGGCTTTCAGATTACTCGGGCAGTGCTCTTGCTTTGCCAAAGGAGCTTCTTCAACAGCTTTGCACGTGTGTCATGTTCGCACATGTATCGCGACGACGGAATGGGGCTGTGGCCAATTTGGAATCCTTACTGGGATCCTGACTGATTGACTTATTACAGAGGATCTAATCGCATTCTTTAAGTTTGCAAACTGGATACCCGTCTGCGCCAGAGGGAGAGCACTTTTGCGAAGACCGCGAATCCCGGCCGAGCGACGTATCACAAAATTTAAATCCGCTCTCCTGAAAATGACACTACTTGTTCAAAAGGAAGGGTGATTTGACTCTGCCGAATCCCATCCTTTCCGTGAAACTTCCAGATCTGCAAAACCCCGAAGGCGGCCCCATAAGTCAACAAAAGCTTGATCAATGGTTCCTTCTGTAAGGCAGGACCCAGGACCCACTTCGTGCCGTTCCTGTCCTGATGAAAGGGATCTCCCCTATGTGATTGCAGCACCGTGACTGCACTTTCCACTGGCCGTGACGTTTCGGCTGCATTCTTTGCTTGTTGCCTGTGAACATTGCGAACTGAGCGATGGGACAATAGCGGTGCGCTTTACGCAAGCACAACCCCTGGGTTCGGCTGTATCGGAACAGTGCATCCACCACACACACGCGCGCGCACACATTCGCGCACACAAAAAACATGCAAGCTGGTGGAGCCGTACTTGGTGAAGTACATTGGAATGTGACTAGGAGCAGGCTGAAATGGCCTGCTCGTCTGCAGGCTTTTTCGTGACATGGATGTCCTCTGCCCATCCCTAAAATCCTGGGTATCCTTTATGCCAATCTTCGTCGATCCGCAAGATCCGCTCCTTCCTGGGCAGTAACAACATGCCCTACTACCCCAGCGACCAGATTCCAGGTCTCAAGTTGTCATCAGGCACATTGTGACAGAATGACATAAGGCACACATGCTTCACTCGTTCTGCAAACCTGTTGCATATCTGCACTGCAATTCTCGAGGGATTGGTTATAGTTACCACCGCCACGTGCCCATCTGACTTGCCTGACTTGAGGGACTGTCCGTTAAGTTATTGACAGATAGTTGCAACTTTCACGTCTTTCTGTGGATCGTCGAGAAGCCCATACCCTGTTTATTAAAGAGGCGACGGGCTCTCCTGACGTACCGGGCGAGGCTTTTTCTACTTTGCAGCGGGCCTTCCATCGTTTGTGGTCCCACATAGGTTGGGAAAATGAACAAAAAGGTGTTTGGTGGCGTCTCACGGTTGATGGGGTGCCCATGTTAGGAAGTTCCCATCTCAGGATTTCGCGGCCAGCAGTGTGTGGTTGTGGGGGATACCCAGTAGCTTCCCAGGGAGGTATATCCCCTCGCTGCCATCACTTCTGGGACTGTCCGGTGGCACAGGCAGTAGTGGACCAGCCTGGACAAGCTCACGCTGTCAATAGGATACTCACTGGGTCAATAGGATCACCAGTGCCGTGCGAGCACCTTTGGCTTGTCCAAGCTCCCCCAACAGTGAAACAATGTGTTTGGGATGTTGTGGCCCTTGCTGCGGTGTCAGCGGCCGGCAATATATGGCTGCAGCCTTGAAGACCGACCCTGCACTGATACCTGGCCCTTATCAGAGCTGTTGTTGGCTTTTGGGGCCGTCTTCGGTGTTTTGCAGTTCTGGGAGTTCCACGAAAAGGGTGAGATCCGGCAGGGTCACATCACCCTTTCTTGCGAACAAGTCGTTACGTTCAGGATAGCGGGCAACGATGGACGATTAGCTATTAGCCAACCCACTTCTTTGTTTCGGTTTCTTTTATTTTCGGGACTCTTGCAACAGTATCTAGATGTAGGTCTCTCTCTTTGGGGCATCTAGTAACAACGTGCAAGTTCCTGTCAGTATTTGTTGGTTGGCCCTTCCGCCAAGGTTCCGGGCCCTTTGGGCCGCCGAATGGAGGGAATTTCCCCGTTGTCACGGGTTTCTGGGCCTTCCTTCCCTTTGCGTTCGCTTTCTGCTCTCTAGGTGACCTGCGTTGTCTGGTCTGGGTGAGGGTGTCTTGACTGTGCCCTGATCGCACGGCCAGCTGGCCCTACTCGTTAAGAGTCTGGAGCCCACTGTAACAACCACCACACACACATGTGGTGGTCCTACAGCTGCCTGAGCACAACTCCTGCATAAGCGACATGCGGATGGCGATTTTTGGAATCCTAATATAAAGTACTTGTTGTTGTTACAGGGTGGTTAAGCTTCACCAGCGGCCCCCTTTCCCGAGGCAATTCCCGTCTCTCCCCTGCTAGAGGGGCACCCTAATCCGTTCACCCCATCTGACTTCAGAGTGTACTATTTGTGTTGTAGCGCGATAGCTACACAGTAATGATGAGCTTATTAAGAAATATGTGAATCTAATTATGATTATTAAGCAGCCCCTTCGCACAAATGTGTCCGGTCGTACTGTGCCGAATAAACAGACCGTACAAGACGGCCCAAAGCCAGGAGCGAATTTTACCGCGCGGATGCGCGCGTGCGATTCTCCAGCCTGGCCACATTCTCTTCCTCGCAAACGTACTTCGGCACCTTACAATCCAACACCATACGTGCTTTGGAAACGCGGGCAGCTGCTTCACAAGGACCCCCCTCTTTTGTAAGAATTCACCGGAACATCAAGGATCTGTACGACAGCCTTACCGAAATCCATAAACTCACTGAAATCGTCTTTGCTCACAGAACTACGTGTGGTTGTTTAGAGTTCATATTCTACACACGTTCGGAGCGCGGTTTTATACCGTGGTCGGGGCAGTGCCGGCCTGAGACAGACTTCACGTGTCTCTAGCACTTCACCACACTACAACAATTTGGGTTCAGCAACTCACCACCATCATCCAACCAAATCTAGCGGAACAACGGCGCCGCAACTTAGTTCCTGGTCAGTTCGCAAATTGATTGGTGACCTATGTATGGGATGCTTGTATTTACATGTTTGAATGCTGCAACAAGCGTTACCGTGGATTTAAGGAGTGATTTAAATCATTATGATTCCAGCTTTCAGCAGACCTCAAATCCTGAGCTTTGGTGCGAAAGTGCAAACACGAATTGTGTAGTACCAGCGGAATGGTAGTACTAACGGAAAACCGGAGTCTTAGCGACAGCCCAGCCCTTCGCGGAGTTACAAATGCGCGCGACGCCGACCACATAAAAAACGGCAACGAACGTTATCATCATCAGCAGTTGCAACCTTCCTAAGTCACTGTTACTAAGTCCTGTTACTAAGCGTGAGCAGATAAGCTTTATGATTGTAACGCTGTCGACAGTATTGCACGTGTCAACACCCAGGCGACGGTAAGAACGTCGTGTTGTTCAAAAACACACAAAGCACAGAATGCAATCTGTCCATCTGATCCATATACACAGTTGCATACATACACAACCGTGGGATGGAGAAAGGGGCCAAGTGCTGTGTCATTATCACCAGCAACACGTTAAACAACGGACGTCCATCAAAATGTCAGATGTCCCACTGCATACCTCCCTCCCCCTTCCCCCATTAAAACCGCGTAGGGAGTCCTATGTACTAATAGTAGCACGATACACAGCACAACATTCCGACTTGAGGCAGCAAGCGTGGAGCACGGCCTCATAGGGGACTTAAAGGGGTTTAAAACTGCATCGGAGGAGAGAAAGCAGCAGCACTCTCTGTAATCTGTCCGGAGATTTTCTTATCTTAGCCAAAAATCACAGGGCCACAGCGAATGAAGCCTCGCTGCCGCCCTCCTGTACCGTCCCACTATCCCCAATGAAAACAAAGAGGCCCAGCACCCCGCGCCTCTTTTCGTCCAGAGCTCTCCCGAAACGACCCTGAACAACCGCCGTTAAATGAGCTCAGCCACGTTCATGGGCATCTCATCAATCTGCGTCGAGTAGTACTGCTCAATATCGCGCAGGATGCGAATGTCGTCATTGCGCACAAAGTTGATGGCAACACCTTTGCGCCCGAAACGGCCCGAGCGCCCGATGCGGTGGATGTACAGCTCACGATTGTTGGGCAGATCGTAGTTGATGACCAGTGACACCTGTTGGACATCCAGGCCGCGCGCCCACACGTCCGTGGTGATGAGCACACGGGCCGCGCCCGAACGGAACTCGCCCATAATGGCCTCGCGCTCCTTCTGCACCATGTCGCCGTGCATGGACGCCACCGTGAAATTGTTCTGCCGCATCTTCTCCGTAAGCCAATCCACCTTGCGCTTGGTGTTGCAGAAGATGACTGCCTGTAGGACGAAAATAAGCGGGATGGGATGCCGCACAAATATTATCAAAATGTACCGGAGACACTTTTTAGTGGTCCAATCCAAAAAACCACTAATGAAAAATCATGAAGCACTAAGCGCAGAGAAGAACCTGTACACGCGGGCGGCGACAGCGCCTGCCAGCCCCCCTTTGCAAGTAGCACCCATGTCCCAAAAATATGTAACAAGCAACGGCTCCACTGAATCATACATGGTAACACTACCAGCAGCTGTGCAATAATATTTGCAAGTACAGCAACGCACGCAAAGCACAAACACATAGGCCGCATCCAGGGGTATGGAAGATGGACCCGAACCGGCTCAAATGTCACGTGTATTTTCAGAGAGGCGTTGCCTTCATAAGTAGTAATTAATCCGTCTCGGTTTCCTTCCCCCCTTTCCCCGGCCGCTCTTCATCAAAACCCATCCATACACCTATCACCCACCGCACCTGTGTAATCGTCAGCGTGTCGTACAGGTCGCAGAGCGTGTCAAACTTCCACTCCTCTCGCTCCACAGCAACAAAGAACTGCTTAATGCCCTGCGGAAACAATCACATCGGATGCGTCCTGAATTCAATCCGTCCGCAAAATTTGGCGATGGGACGGAACAGGCGCTTCCAAGCTGTAACGATATGTCGCATTGAATATCTTTGGGCGCTTCCCAGCATCTGCTCCCCCAGCGCTAGGCGAAGGCTGCTGTGCATGTGTACCCAAGCCCCGACATTGCCGACCTAAATCCCCCTCCACCAAACGACACTCCAGAACTGACGTCTTTGTCGCCAAACACAGGCACATAGCAACATACAGCGCTTCTACGCGGCTTCTGCGCAAGCAATAAACCTTCCTTCATGTGCTCCGCGCAAACAGCCCATATAGCCCAAAGGCGCGCAACGCCTCTTACCTCCAGTGTGAGCTCATCACGCTTGACCAGCACACGGATGGGGTCCGTCATAAACTTATTCGTCATCTCAAGCACCTCCGCGGGCAGCGTAGCGCTCACCAGCACCACCTGAGTCTCGGGTGGCAGGTACCTAATTGACGCGATGGGAGAGCGAGCGTGGCGGGCCGTTAGGAAGTGTACGAAAGCGAGTGCCAACGTGAGGAGGCAGGGGGGCCGGGCCGGGTGGGGGGGCCCGGGTGTCGACATGCGTGCATGGCTGGGGAAGGTCTCCCGCAGAACGCAAAAGGAGGCGTCTCAGGCACATACAGCATGGCGCAAGCGGGGATATAGCTTCCTGAAGATAGCAGACGTGCTGTGTCCGCTAGCCAGGCTTTGGGTGCACGAGCTGGCAAACCCCAAGTGCAACCACCCTTAGGTAATGCAGGGCATGATAGCTATGGAGCATTCATTACTACATCTCGCACGTGTGAACGGCAATGAGCTACGCAACAAGCTCCTCCATATCACGTTTGGCTTGGCCCAAACAACAACACCAACACCGAAACAACTGCCAGCAGTATTCGGAGCCACGGCCCAAATAAGCCACCGCCCACTCCACCGCCGCCACCTCACCGGTAGATGTCGTAAATCTGGTCCTTGAAGTTCTTCGCCAGCATCTCGTCCGCCTCATCAAGGATGAGCGTCTTAATGTGCCGTGTCCGCAAGTTCCGGCGCTGAATCATGTCAAACACGCGACCGGGCGTCCCAGACACGACGTGCACGCCGCTATCCAACTTCCGGATGTCCTCCCCTGATGGATAGAAGCAGAAACACTTCAGTACAGAAAACCGCGAAACAGTTAAGCTCTATCGTCCAAGTTCTAAGCCAACCCATGAGCCATGGGGCCACGGACATCCATGGCTGTGTCCGGCCCCCTTCCCCCCGAGGGCCTGCACCTAGCCTGGTAACCCCGATAGCCGGGTCGACCCCTTACTGATTTGTTTATCGTGCCCGCCTCAACTGAACTTAAGGCTTCACTGAACCGCTGCACCAGTCCATGCGCTAACCATTGTGCACGTGGGGCGTCTATGTTGTGTTAAAAGGAAAGCAACTTCCATCACCCGCCCAGCGCAGCTTTTGTCCGTTGCCACATCGCATGTCCCCCCAGGACACAAGCCCGAGGTACTCACCGAGGCTTTTTCCTCCGATGCAGGCGTGGGCCTGGATGTTCATGAAATCGCCCACAGCAAGGATAACTTTCTCCGTTTGTTGTGCCAGCTCACGCGTTGGAGATAGTATAAGGACTTGGCACCTGCACCAACGCCGCTAATGCTCAAAGCTCCGCGCTCCAAAGGAATAACACCGAAGCTAGCTCCAGGACTGGTGCTTGCGGGGTGTACACCCCTTGCCCCGGTCCGATAACGATTTGCACAACATTCATTCAATTTTTCCTTCCCATCTATGACGTTAAATTTAAGGGCGGCCTTAGAGCGGAGTATGATACTTTAAAGGTTAACTAGGAAACCCCACTTCCCACCGCGACCCAACCCGTGTCCATCCGTGCAAACTTACTCCCGCAGCGTGACATCAACAAGTTGGCACGTAGAAACAGAAATCATGGACGATTTGCCCGTGCCTGATTGTGCCTGGGCGATAACGTCACGCCCTTGCACAATTGGCAGGACTGCTCGTTGCTGAATAGCCGACGGCTTCTCAAAGCCATAAGCATATAGTCCCCTAAGAAGCTCCTCCTTGAGCCCCATGGAATCAAAAGTATTGTACACCTTGACGCCCTTTGACGTCTCGAACTTCACTTCGTCATCCTCCTCCATATCCTGAGCCCTGTATAGTCGTCAAAAAAGGAAGTTGAAAGCACATCGTATATTTCGATGCATAAGGCAAACATTGCCTGTCTAATAATGAAAAAAAACACTGCAGCGGGAAAGCCCAGACGCCGCCACCAAATAACTGTGAGCTCCAACGTTAAAAGCTAGCAAAAACTCATGAGGTTACACTACGATTGTAATGCTTCCGCGATGGAGCGTCACTGTGACCTACCGGTTCCGGGCCATGCTGCTAAGGGCTCTTTTCTAGTGCAGGTTCTCCTTCTCTTCAATTACGTGAGCTAGCACTTTCTACTAGTTGTATAGGGACGATTGGTCAAGACCGGGTCCGGTAGTCTTTAAACGCGATGAAGATCCCCAGCTCAATGTTGCACAAACAAAGATTCCTTGAAGAAATCGTTGGAACTCAGCCTGTTGTAACCTAGTAAATGCTGTAGACGAAATCTTCTGGCAGCACGCGCAAGCTGTGCCTGGGCAAACAGTGGTACGATTGCCGTACGCATTGCCGTATTTCTCTCCGCACATCAAGATCACCGGGAAAGCTGCCCAATTCTCGTCCACGGCTTAGCCATTTCTTCTTCTTCTCGACGTAGGACCATTTTGATTAGGTCAAAATGCAGTCGGCCTTGCTGAACCGGGCGAGCGGTGCCGCCTTCAAGGCGACACGCCCTAACGCCTGCAGCCGGTAAGCTCCATCGCAAATGAATGCATGATAAAAGCTTAATATGAAATACATGACGGATCTGGATGGTTCACGTCGTTTCGCAGGTCAGTCGTGGTTGTCCGCGCGACTGCGGAGGCCGTCGTGGAGAAGAAGGTAATGCGACGTTGTCTGCTTTTAATTATGGATCTAAACGTACTTGTTTGGGAATCCGCTTCATCGGCGTCTTAATTCCTGCAGGAGCGCAAGCTGAGCCCTCTGGAGCGTGGTGGAACCCTCTCCGGTGACCAGGCTGCTGGAAAGGCGCGTCAGATTCCTAAATGATCTATCCTGTGCTCGACAGAGCTGCCGATCTGTGTGTGTGTGTTTTGATGCGTTGCTTAGCTTGGACAAGGCCTCTCAAATGTACTTTTTCGCGTCGGCTCAGTTGATTGAAATCTAAATCGTCTTTATTTAGGATGCTGGAGATAAGGCGCGCGCCATGGCAACTGGCGCCGCTAGCGCGGTGACGATCCTCCAAATTGTGGACGGGCACTTCCGCGACGACCGCTGGGTTGGTGGTCGCTGGGACCTGAACCAATTCAAGGATTCCACGGGCGAAGTGGACTGGGATAAGGTGAGAATTGCCGTTGATCACACAATCGGTATCCAAATCGTTTTTTGTTATTAAAGGACGTTTTTCGCCGTTGCAAAGTACATTCCATCTATTGCAGCGTCGCTCAATCCTCCTATACTCTCCTCCAATACTCATGCTATGCGCTTCATATTAGCTGAAAGTTTCTTCAGCGAGCGGACCTGGTTGTCGGACTTGAATGTCCCACAAACCTTCCATCCTCTTCTAAGTAGCCAGTCGGTCGCCCATGATTAAAACAGATCCGACTTGCGGCCGCTGCCACGGACGACCCATCCATTTAAGAAAGTTGTTATCCCGCTCTTTCCTCATTACTCGGCCTCCTTGCAACTTCGGCATGTTCTCCGTCATCCATCCGCTCTCCTCCCTGTTTCCCGCTTAGTAGCTGCACGTTATCTTTCCTGATACGTTTTCCTTGAAGGTGATTGACGCTGAGGTTGCTCGCCGCAAGCTGCTGGAGGACAACCCCATCCCCTCGATCAACGAGGATCCAGTCAACTTTGACACCAGCGAGATCCCCTGGTGGGCCTGGGTCCGTCGCTTCCACCTCCCAGAGGTACGTGCGCGAGTTCACCCGCACCAGATCTTACCATGCAAACCGCCGTTGGCACCAGCTGATACCCAAATCACTAAATGAAGAGGTGGCCATGGTTTCGGCGCACTGGATAGCTTCAGCTTTACTCGATGCTTGTTCTCTCAAGCGGGATGATAAGAGGCAGTCGATCTCCTGCTTGACACTGTGAGAAAAGCGTGGGCTCCTTCCCTGCACCTCCTGCATCCCTTCCACACCACCGCCATCCTTACTCTGCCATTCATTCACTTGTTGTCATCCATCCGCGCCACTATCCCCTACTGCGTTTTCCCTTATTCTATACCCATCACTAACTCATAACTGCCGCCTATCTCGTGTCGCACTTCCTTCAGGCTGAGAAGCTCAACGGCCGTGCCGCCATGATGGGCTACGTCCTGGCTCTCTTTGTGGACTCCCTGACCGGCGCGGGTCTGCTGGAGCAGCAGGAGTCCTTCCTGGGCAAGCTGGCGCTCCACATTTGCGTGTTCGCCATCCTGCTGGTCCGCTCGTCCGCTGACCTGGACAAGTACAAGGGCCTTCTCGACGAGGCCACCTTCTACGACAAGCAGTGGAACGCTACCTGGGATGGCGTCAAGCGGCCGTCGGAGGCCTCCTCGGAGAGCCAATGAAGAGGACATATCCCCTCCAGTTCTTCTAGTTCTGCTTAAGACGAAAACGGCGGGCGTCTTTTGCTGGCGCGATGGCTTGGGGCGTTCTAACTTCGAAGCCGATGTCGCTGATTGGAGGCGATGTGCGACTAGGAAGAGGGCGGAGGAGCACAACTTGCGTGCTGTTGCGGTTGTTGTCAGTCGGCCTTGGCGTCCGGTGTGCACATGTGGGTTCTATGAGGCTTCGCTGGCAGGTCGTGGTGGGATGGCGGTGGTGATGGCCATGGTGCCTTCCTCGTGTCTGGGTAAGCTCGAGGACGTGTACTTCCGCGTGCTTTTCTGTGAGTACGGAGGAGCTACTTTGTTTTCAGGGTTTGTTTTTCACGGCAAAGGTGTGGTGATGGTGTGGCGCATGCGTGTCTGTGCGGTGATGCGGAGTAGGTTGCGCGTGTGCGGCGTCAGCATTCGTCACCTGAGAGCAGTGTGCGTGTGTGACCTTCGTGAACTTTGTGGATGTGACTTCCGTCATTGACAGAGGAAGTTCACGTACATATGTATTTTGTGAGCGCTGAGGGATGTTTTTTGAGGGACGCAAATGGGGCATAACGTTAGGGTGTGTATGTTCGGCACATCCTCGGGGTGGAGCGATGTTTCTGGACAGGACGACAACAGACAACCTGCCCTACTGTTCGTAATGTGTATGGCAAAGTGCGGTGGCATGGCCGGCGCGATTTTGATGATTGCGGCGCCCTGCCATGCGGGCCGCAGAAGACTTGTGTGTTTATCGAAGTGGGGCTGCACATGAACACTTCTCTCGATGCATCTCTGTTGTCCTGTGATGACACGTACGGCCCTTCTGACACGCCGCACTTGGGAGATGGACCCGTGTGTCTTTTGACTTGGGGCAAGATTTGCACGCCGATGCCAAAGCAAAGTCTGGCAATGGCGGGTGAGATGCATTTCTGTACGGCGCAGATTTTTTGTAAAAGATTGGCACGCGCGCTTCCTTTTCGTTCACCTCCTTGACCCTTTCATGCCCGCGCCACTGATGGAATTTTACTAATTGCAGTGCACGCATGCGGCTGGGGAGATATGAGGAATGATGAGAAAACACCCGTGAGTATCATCAACTCAGCGGACGCGCTACACAGCTCCTGCACAGCTATCCGGAACACAGGCAGGGATGCGTGCGATATTTGAACGCAACGTACGCGAAACCGGCGTTAGACAGCCGCATTTTTTGCTACATTTTTGTAGTCGTTCGAACATGTCGTATATTTCTGATATGCCGGCGTTCACCAAAGTGCGGCATGAATTAATATCTTTCGATCTAAGTTTGGCTGATTTTACGGTATTTCGTTACGTCATGCACTTATCTATCTTGCCGTTTGCCTCGCCGCAGTGCCGATAGCGTCGTAGCTTCAGTCCTGAAGACGCGCCTCAGCAACGCAACTTTAATCCATATTTACGAACGGGGCGTGCTGTTTATTTCCTGTCGGAGCGATGTCGAAACTCATCAAGGTACTGTATGTTGCAAAGGATGTCATCGCCGGCAGCTCCTCAACCGTTGGTCCTCAACCAACATCAGTATAGCTACGCAATACAGAAACGCATTGAGAGATAATCATACTATTCCACTACTGAGCGGCACGTGCGCCTGGTCATCCCTAGTGCTCGGTCATGCCTGTCTGTCGACAGGATCCTAAACCAACTCCCCCTTTTCGCAACCCGGCCAGACCACATATCCGTCCACAACCACACGCACACATATCCACTCATTGCAAAGCAACAAATATCAACTAAATCGCCCATGGCGGCCCTTCTCGCTGCCAAGTCAAACCAATCACCCCGCCATCCTTAGCCCCTTCACCATCTACCACAGAAATCCCCACCATCGCCACCCCACTAACGCCTCTATTTCCACATAAGCGCATCATCATCATCAAAATCGTCATCATTATCAACCGCCATCCCCCCGCAGCGTACAGCCCTGTTGGGCGCGGTCGTTGCGAGTGGCGGCGCCGCCTTCTACCTGACGGCCGACACAGACACCCAAATGGAAATCGCCAGTGCCAGCGGTCCGCTCATTCGAATGTTGGATCCGGAACTTAGCCACGTCATAGGGATACAGGTACGGAGGTGGGAAAGTAAAGGTAAAAGGCGGGAAACCTGGGGGGAAGGGCGACCTGTTGTTGGTTGTGAGGCGAAGCTACAGCTATGGGGGAAGGGGGGGAGGGGGGGAGGCGATGGACCACTGAGAATGAAGCAGATACCAGAGGTAGACGGATGTAGTCCGGGAGGGGAAGGAGACAAATGCTGCATCAGGAGTATTTTATTATTACTGACCAATGACGACTTGAGAAGTCCTCTTGGTGGCCACGTGGCCATAGCGTGGGGTTGCGAGACGAGTTACTTACTATAGCTGCCAACTCCAAAGCCCAAAGAAGGCAGAAGGCGAAAAAGCGGAAAAAAACTACCTAGCCGCCGAGATGAAAGGAAAGTCCTTAAAGAAAGCAGAAAAAGAAAGGAAAGAGGAAAAGGTATCGGAAAGTGTAAAATATGAATTAATCGGAAACAAAGTGTTTACGTCGGCGTGTCACTTCTAGATTTGACAAACCAATTGAGGCCTCGTAAATGTAATATATTACCTTCAAAAAAAAGATACAAATGGGGGAGGGGGAGGGGGAAGGGGAGGGGGGGCCGCTGGAACTTGAGCTATCAACATCATTATCAACATCATTATCAACATCATTATCAACATCATTACAACATCATTATCAACATCATTATCAACATCATTATCAACATCGTTATCAACATCATTATCAACATCATTATCAACATTATTATCAACATCATTATCAACATCATTATCATCATCTACATCGTTGCCATGACATTATCATCTCCCACCCCCCACCCCACCCCGTTCTCCGCAGGCAGCTGCTCGCGGGCTCCTCCCCCGCGACACCCGCCCCGACCCGCCCTCGCTGCGCACCCGGGTGTTTGGACTGGACTTCCCTAACCCGCTAGGTACCTGGGAAGCGGGTGGTGGATGGGGATTTTAAGGGAAAAGGAAGGAAATGAAGCAAGGAATTGTTAGGGACGATAAAGGAAGTATTGAAGGAGGGAGTTGGCGAACTGGTGAGGGAAGCTGCTTGTTTGGGACTTGGGTGGGTAGGTTATTAGGTTTTTTTGTGTTGCCATCTGAAGGCCATTAGGGTTTCCCTGACTGCCGTCTCCCCCTTTCGCCGATTCCTCCCCCTCCTCTTTATAATTATACCTTACATTATTTCATAAATAATTCTATTAGTGAGATTAAAAACAATATTATTGTATTTAATATCATGTATATCTTTCCCGTCCTCCTCTCACTTTCCTAAATAGGCTTAGCCGCCGGGTTTGACAAAAACGCCGAGGCCGTGGCCGGGCTAATGGGCCTGGGCTTCGGATTTGTGGAAGTAGGTACGTGGTGTTCGTATGTATGTATGCATGTATGTATGCATGTACGGGTATTCGTATGTGTATGGGGATGTACGAATATGCGGCTCATTCATTGGGCTTCATCGTGGGCCTTATGAACATGTTAACATAACAACCCCTCCTACACATACAGACATACACATACACATACACACATATACATACAGAAACACACACACACACACACACACACACACACACTGCTGCACTGCCCCAACCCGCCCCAACCCGCCAACACCCCCCGTTAATCAGTATCCATGCTCTTGTACGGATGTCAACTGAATTGACAACCACTCCGCAACCACCTCAACCCCCGCCACACCCTCGACCCGCTCCTCCGCCTCCCGTCACCCGTGCGGTGGGGTGCCACCCAACGGCGCCACTCCCCAACGAATTCTCCCTACTCCACTCCACTCCACTCGACTCGACTCGCCACAAGAGAGGAAACCGATGTCGTTCTCATTTTCAAGATCCTCGCCGCCATGCGGCATTTCCAAAACCCTCCTCCCCCCAAACAACCCCCCCCAAACCCTCCCCCCCACACCACACACACACACACACGCACACACCAGAAAACCCCCAACCAAATGTGTTTTCTCCCGGGCCCCTTGTTCACCCCCTCAGGCTCCATCACCCCGCGGCCCCAGCCGGGTAATCCCACCCCCCGGGTTTTCAGGATACCGGAATTGAAGTGAGCGGCAGCTGGGGGGGGTGCTGGGGGGGGGAGGGCCGGTTGCGGGGGAGTGGAGGTTGGGGGGACCCTGAGGGGGGTGGGGTGAAGAAAGATGGATTGTTTCCCGTCTGGATAACCTCATTCCCCGGGGTTTGGGGAGGGGGGTAGGGCGTGGGGTTGGGGGGATTTGGGGGTGAGTGAGGGGGTGTGGGGGGGTTATGGCGTTGGTTGGACTTTTAGCGCAGGTTGAGGGGAGGGACGGGGGGAGGGGAATATATAACGTGGTTTTGTTGTGAAGGGAGGGGTTTCGGGGATTTGACTAATGGATATTTAATGAAGGAACACACTCACGCGCCCCCCACCTCGACGTGTTTTTCAGGGCCACCATCAATCGGTACGGCTTCAACAACCTTGGTGCAGATGCCGTACAAGATCACTTGGCCGAGTTTGAGAAAAAGGTCTTGCAAGATCCGTCCATCAAGCGCGGTACGACACAAAACACACACACACAAATACACACCTAGGCATGATATTTGTTAACAAATGAACAAAGGTACACAATCAGGCAGTCTGCAAAAAACGCATGTGTATCTGTCTGTCTGTCTGTAGCCACCAATATCGCCGCTTTCATTTGAAAGCAAAGCATACTGCACCTGCACCTGGAGATCAGGAGTTGATTATCATTTTTTTGCGTGTTATTCCCCCCTACGATTTCCCCCACTTCTCCCTTTCCCCCCTTCAGCTTCACTCGCTCGCTCGTGGTTCGTCTCCCCCCCCCTTTCCCCCTTTCCCCCTTCCCC